CCCCCCCCCCCCCCCCCCCCCCCCCCCCCAATCGAAAAAGGAAAGGCGAAAAATACTGAGAAACATGTTTTGGCAGGCAAGGCCTTCGGAGACTACCATATGTGCTCCATATTGAGCAGGCCCTGGTCTTTGATGTTTTTTCTGAAAGTAAAGACATTATGCTTTCTCAAACTGTGCCTAAGTACTACAGACATTAAAACAATGAGGCCCGAACGAGCGGACCCGGCTCTAAGTGTTTAATTCGTCCTTCACCCAAGTGCTCGCCACCAGTTAGCTCCCCCGTGTGCACCCCGACTGCCGCCCGGGTTGCCAACCCGTCCCGGGCCCCATCCCCCGTTCAGGCCCGCGTTTGTCTGTATCCTAGAACACCTTCGCGCCAAGTTCGGAAGTAAGTACTTTCCCAAACGCCCGGCGCAAACTCCCCAGATGTTTCCTGCGTCACGGAAACGAGCCCAGGTTGGATCTGAAGCATTCTTACGACGGCGGGTCACGGGGCCCGCCTGGCGCCCGCGAGCCCGGCTCCTCCGCGAGCTGCGGGGTGCGCCGGGGGGCCTCCCGCACTCCCCGGGTTCGCGCCCACGGTGGCTCGCTGGGGAGAGGCCAACAGGGCGGGAAATTGGAGGGGTGGGCATTTTATTACTTGCAGAATTGTGAATCACAACCGAAGATCCCTAGTAAATTTACACTCCGATCTCTGGGGAGCTGATCAGTCACTCACGGGCTGATTGTAAATTCCTCCTTCTCTGTGCCTCCCTCGACCCACGGCCGACACAACGGGGACCTTAACGGGGGACCTAAATCCACTCGGGGAACGGGGAGGCCTGGGTCCGCCGTAAGCGACAGACCCATATACCGGAAACTCTCTACCACGGGGCAGGATCGTGGCGCGAACCTGGGACCCGCTCTCGCGCGAGCGATGCTTCCCGAACTGGGGTACCTCCAAGGTGGGCGGGTCGTGGAGGGCTCTGGAGCCAGAGGAGCGGCGGGCGAGGCCCCGCTGCTTCCGGGTCTCGGCAAGCGCTTCCGGGGTGCGCACCACGCGGCTGGTTTCTGCGCTTACAGATCATCACAAATAGCCGAAGAGAAGATTAGCGCCAACGGAGCAGGGCGATGACCGTGGTCTATGACTACGCTTGGGTGGGTGACAGTAGGGCCCCTCTAAGTAGCCGTAGTCAGGCCCCAGGGCTCAAGCATGTCAACATCTACACCCCGCTGACCCAGAGATTCGAGAAGGGTGGGGCGGGGGGGGGGGCACAAGAGCACAGCTTCAGCATCCTGGTCCCACCCATGGTCGCAGGTTCTCGGACACGGCCCAAGTCGCCTCTTTACCCCGAGTAAATTCGCTGAGATGACCTTTCTGTGCTTTGGCCCAGGAAGGTCTCTGCTCCTGGTCATCTGGACTGGGCCTGCCTCGGTCTTGTGAGCTCAGCTCTGGACCGTCGAGGGTGAAGAAAGGAGCACTACGAGGCAGAAGTAACAAATGTCTGCAAATGTCAGCTGGAGCGGGCTCCCTCGACGCCAAGGTGCTTGTTATCCAGGAGGAATCAGCTTGTGTTGGGGTGCTGGGCTGAGAAATGGGAGCAGATCCTCGAGGTAGTCTCATACATGAGCCTGGAATTAATTGAAAAGGCACGGAATACACGCACGTGTGTGTGCGCGCGCACGCCTTTGCTTACATTTGCTCTCAAATAATTGCCCCTTTTCCTTTGAAGCGTCCGTTTTGTCAACCAGGATCTATTGTCTCAGCTCCCACTGTGTGTTCAATATCGCCACCAGACCCTTTGGGGCATTCAAGCCCACAGAAGACTAGGTTCTTGCTCGTGAACCTTGCTCAGGACTGGGAATTAGTGGAAGAAAGGGAGGTCGCCCATTAAAATTACTTATTGTGCTGCACTTTTTTTCTGGAATGAACTAAAGGCACCCTGAGAAGAATATGATAATGTATGCTTGCACTTCCGGGCTTGGCTTCCTTTTTCTGACCCTTCCTCAACCGGGCTTTTCCTCCTCAAGAGATTTGCAGGGTGAGTAGAGAAACTGCCAGCCCAGGTAAGTATGGAAGCCACATGGTCTCATGAATGGAAAAAAGGAAATCATCTCCAAATGCAACCAGGCAGGTGGGGGTAGATGGAGTCTGAGAAGGAATGGGAAGTCTGAATAACCCCCAAGGCAGCAGACTCCATACCCAATGGTGAGGTGTGAGAAACAGTCAACATTTGGAGTCAGAAAGAGTTTTGGCAGCTGTTAGATAACTTCCTGATCTACAATAAAGTTCATGTGACCTAGAGGATGTTTTCCGCAATTCTGTTGCCTGGCTACCTTCCTCTCTCTCCAAGTCTGCGAGTTTGAGAGATTTTTCTGGGTCCGCGTTGAATGGGGGTGCTGGCTGAATGCACGCCCTCGAAGGGGTCCTGACAGAGGGCAGCTGCTCAGGTTGGACAGGAGCAGTCCAGGTCTCGCTGATCCGTTGCCTCCTCAGTTTTCACCTGCAAGGTGACATAGAGGCTCCCCTTTTTGCGATGGGGAATCCAGGTGTCCCCCATTTCTGACACCCAAACTGTTTGTTCCAGACCCTACCCAGATGGTGCAAACTAAACTTTTTTTTCCCCTACGTAAAGTCCCAAGTGCCTTACTCAGTCCCAGTGTCCTCAGGCCACAACAGCCAAGTTTCTGCAAGGCAGTCTCCCATAGGCAGTGCCTAACCACTATGGAAACACATGCAAGATGTTTACTTTCTTTAGTGGAAAAAAAAAATGCAAAGGGAGCCCAGCTAGCTCTTCAAGACTCCCTGGAAAGCATTGTGCATTGAGAGAGTCCCAGATCCTAGCAAAGGATCAAGCAGGTGTTACCTCTCAGTCCCTGTGGCCAGCTAGTCCTCACATCCTCCCACTCCCAGAATGCCTAGTCATGCATGTGCGGACTGGCCCACAGGCAGGTGAGTAGGAGGCCGTGCTCCACGGGCATCACGGGTCTGGATATTTGCACAGGTTCTAGCCTGTTTGAGGGACCATCCTTTGGGTCCGTAGAATGTGGGCTTCCCTGAAGTGCAGCTGGAGGGGGTAATAGAAGTAAGTGAAGAGCAATAGCAAGAATGCAGAAATCAAACCTTGCCAACTGGGGTCAGAGAACGTACATGGGGGCAAGTTCTCAAAGTTGCACTGGTGAGACGCAGAGGTCAGGGTTTGGAATTTTGCAGAGCTGCTAGTAACCGGTGGGGGGAGGGAGGTGATCCACCCAGCAACCATACCTCGCCGTGGGAAGGGGAGCTGGAAGTTTTGTCACATTTCCAGAGCTTCTAGAAAGAAACTGCATCTTTTCTCTAAAGATGAATAAACAAATGCACTATGATGGGGATCATCAGGGCTAGGAACGGCACTTCCAAACCCCTTGTTGGGCAAACGTCCCAGTTTTGCAAAGGCAGAAATAAACTCTGCGGCCAAGATGCCAGCTCCAGTCTAGAAGCTAAGACCCAACCCAGGTATACCTGGCCTCAGAAATGCACTAAGCACTTGCCTCTGACAGGGAGGTCAAGCGGGATCTTCTCCGGGAGCCGTGGATGCGCCCAAACTCCTGATGGATTCTGGGGGCAGGGTTGGTCATCATCAGCAAAGGCGAGACTTACCTTAAACCTACCGCTGGGAAGGAAGTGGGAGGAGTAAGGCTTCTTAAGTACGCCAGGAATGTCTCCGATTTTCTGCCAACCCATCAGCACATTATAGTCTAATTGTTACCCATAAGTGCCTTCCAGCCCTGCACAACTACAAACTCTGAAGCTCAGAGCCTACCTGTGTGCTCGACTTTGCCTGACATGGAGTGGATGCCAAAGAAGCAGCTATGGGCTTTATCATCGGTGCAATCCCCAGCTCGCAGCCATCTCGCAGAACCCAAGCTGTCCCGGTTTTCTCATTTGGATCCATTTCTTTTTGCTCTTGGCATAAGAAATCATTCTGGTCACTAATGGCTGTAATAAGATCACTCTGGCTTAAGTCACCCAGCATGGCCTAGAGCCCAGAGGCTCCCCTGGGGTGGTGGATGCTGGGCCCCTCCGTATGGGTGGGGGAGGGGCCTCCACCTGACGTGGCCACACCTCCCAGGGCTTTTCTCACCTCCCTGTCTGCTGCCACCACTACCTTTCCCTACCCACCGCCAGTAGGTAAAGCCCTGCCATAGACCAGACCATGTGAATGTGCCTTTCCCAGGCAAAGAACCCCGCAGATCCTGAACAAGGGAATTGGGTTGGAGAGACCAGTGGAGCAACCCAGTGGAGACCAACAAGCCTTAGCTTCAGTTGTTAGAAATTGAGGCGGGGTTCCAAACACCCTTCCAATTTTGTGTACAAGTATTTTCCTTTTTCTTTCCCTCTCTTCCTACAGTTTTCTTGCTCTTTTCATTTCTCTCTTGAATTTACTGATTTTGTTTTTTCTTTTTATACTTTCCAGACCGCCAGAGTCTCTGAGAGGAGAGGAGATTTTATACCTGAGTCATGCCATTCTGGTTGGAGGAGGAAAAACCAAGTTCAGTTCAAATTGGCGACCTAGTCCCAGTCTCATCGTCAGGCTCTTCCACTTGGCATTCCTAGGGTCAAGTGTGGTGCCGCCAGGCATGAGCAGCAGCAAAAAATGTAGCAAACTATGATAGAGGAGAAATACATGGATGCAGGGAGGCTTTCTTAACTCCAGGGAGGAGGTAGAGGGACTTAACTAGCTGGCATTTAGGAAATCACCATAGTCTCTCCCTCTCCCACCACAAGGACTATAAAGTGAGTTAATATACCCTGATGGGTTTTTTTTTTTTTAATTCTATTAAATGATCATTCATTTAGCCGCCTCCAGGTTTGGAACAGTGCTCCAGGGGCAGTTAGGGCCCAGAGGTCTTAGAATAACCAGAAAATGAGGAAATGCACCTGATACCCCTGAATTTCCCTCCCATGCCCAAGGGGAACAGGGGGCTCCACAAGGGTGAGTATACCTTTAGGGACTCTTTATTTATTTTTTTTTTTTAATTTTTTTTTCAACGTTTATTTATTTTTGGGACAGAGAGAGACAGAGCATGAACGGGGGAGGGGCAGAGAGAGAGGGAGACACAGAATCGGAAACAGGCTCCAGGCTCTGAGCCATCAGCCCAGAGCCTGACGCGGGGCTCGAACTCACGGACCGCGAGATCGTGACCTGGCTGAAGTCGGACGCTTAACCGACTGCGCCACCCAGGCGCCCCTTTAGGGACTCTTTAAAACAATTCATCCTGAACGCCCACCTGGAGTCTGTGCCCCATGCAGCTGTACTGACCAAAAGAGAAGAATGTCGGCATCTGGCTCCCTAATTCTCCTCGCCCAAGCCCAGAAACGGGAGACTAAAGGGCAAGGAAAAATGGAGAAGTAAAAAGACAATGGAGAGCATCTGGGCTAGGACTGTGCCTGTGCAGGAGAGGAAACAAAAATTTCCCTAAGCGAGTCTCAAATCACAATTGCTCCCCCTGCCCCCGGCCACACACAGACCTCTTCCCCCCCCCTCCTTGCTTTTTGGCTTTACCTGTTGTCTGTCCCCTCTTCCCTTCTGCAAACGCCTCAAATTCAAACTCTAAGGCATTTTCTCGAGTGTAGGCGAGCAGTCACCAGACAGCCTCTCTGTGGATGAAAAGGAAGTCCATGACACCAAGAAGCAACTACTGAACAAGTTCTGGGAAGTCGGGGTGCCAATAAGAATGTTTGGGTGGTGGAACCCCCAGGGTTTCACTGCTAGGAGTTGAACCATGGGTTTCCAGAGCCCACACTCAGTCCTCCCCCCAATTTAGGGGCAAGTGGTCTCTTCTGCTCGCTGGACAAAGCCTGGCCCTGACAGGTGGAGAAAGGCCCCGAGGCGGCACTTGGAAGTTTAGGACCATGTTAATTCCTTCCTAGGTCTCCCCGGGCTTCAAAGCCCCGGGCTGAAGGGGAGTATTTGGGCTCAGTTCAGATGCTCGTGGCATGAACAGAAACTCAGGTCCAGTGAATCTGAGTTTAAATCTTCTCAACCGTGGTGTGATGGGGAAAGAAAAGTGTGGGGTAGACTTTGGACTCTTCTGGCTGAGTAAGAGATTCCTGGCAACTGACCTTCTCATGAATATTTTGGGGGAATAGGTACAAAGGTGCTACAGCTTAAAATGGTGTCCAAGGCTTCAAGTCCTTAGAACCAATTTCCCATCACTTACATCACTCTCCAGGAATATATATTAGAGACACATGGAAAGCAGCTCATCTCTCTCTTCAAGGACAACCAGAGACCTAGCCCAGGCTGCAGGACCTATCAGTGTGTCATCAACTCTCAGGACGTTGCTAGAAGCAAGAGGATGGTAGTAAGGATCCCTAAAATTTGTTTGGATGCACAGACCTATGGCTCTGGTCAGGTCCCTCCTCTCTGCACCTCAGTGTCCTTGCAGGTACACAAGGTTTGGAAATACTCCTCTTAAGGTTTGTCAAGATCGAGCAATGTACAGCCTATAAAATGCTGGACCCTTAATAGGCTCTCACTAATAGTAGTTCTTTCTCTCATGTTCTGGAAGTAGGGGCAGGCAGATTTTATTACTTCTCTTTAAAAAAAAAAAGTCTTTTTTTTTTTTTTTTTAAATTAAGTAAGCTCTACACCCAAGGTGCGGATCAAACTCCCTACCTTGAGATCAAGAGTTGCTTGCTCTATGGACTGAACCGGTCGGGCACCCCTACTCCTGTTTTCTTGATGGAAGAACCCAGGCCAGGTCCTGGAAGAGCAGCAGAGGACCACCCATAACTTCCCTGACTTAGATTGAGCCCCTTGGCCACCAGCCTGAGTTCTGCTGTGGTGGTGGACTCTCAGCTCCTCCCCCGCCCGCCCCCGCCCCCCCTCCCCACCATCCCCATAGCAACTAGAAGCCCAGGCCCAAGCCTAGGGGAGGGCCTCGTGCACCAAAAGGGGGCCCAGTCTGCAGTAATCAGACTCTGAAAAGCTCCTGCCATAGGTTGGACGGGAGTAACTCTGAGTTCATTTGACAGCCAAAGGGCAAGCAACTCCTGGTGCAGAGAGCGGTGGCTTCCCCAGGCCAGCCTTGCTGCCTTGTCCTCTCCTCCAGAGCAGGCACACTCATTATACCCCACCGGGCGCTGGGCTCTAATTCCCCCTACCCAGCGCCCACCCCTTACCCAGATTTACAGAGCAGCCTGGGATTCTCAGGGCTGCCAAGTGGCTGCTAGAGGAGGAACGAACGTGGGGAGCCCTGGGCTCTGCTGTCTCTGAATCCCTTGATGCCCAAATGCTTGTCCAGGAGCAAAGGCAAGGAGGTGGTGCCACTACCTAAGCCAGGCCCTCCTCCTTGCTTAAGGGCTACAGGCAGGCCTTGTTTTTTTTTAAAAAACCCACCACCCTAAACCTATACAATTACCAAAAGCCAAAACAGTCCCCAAATCTTATTTTTTCCCCCACAACCGCCCCGCCACACCTGAGGGCCCCAGTCAGCGGCAACCGCCGTGGGCACCACCTTACTAACGTTTGGAGGTAGATCTAGGAAGGAAGAGAAGAAGCAAACTGCCCTTCAGGATGAGAGAGCAATATTCATTCCTATCACTAGGAGAAGGCGGATGATCTGGAGCTGTCGCCCGGAGGGCTGGCTTGGTGCATGGAAGTATTTAGCAGGTTCAGTGCTATTACTGCCTAACAGGGTGTGAAAAGGAATATGAATGTGAAATAGTGTGGGAAAATGGAGAGTTTCCAAAGCAGGGAGCGAGGCCCCTCCACTGCCCCGCCTGGAAGGCTCAGAGTCCCTGCTGCCTCAGGAGCAGCGCCAGGAGGCGCTGCCACTGGCCTGAGACCACTGGGGGAACTTGTGGACAAGAGATTACGGACCTGACGAGCCGGGTGGTGTGCAGAGTCTACAAAAGGCGGAAGGTGTGTCGGCAGTCAAGCTGGCAGCATAGGGGAGAAACCTAGGCAACGCCTTACTGGCTCTCCCTGCCTGGCTGAGGGGGCAGACCCCTGGCAACTTCTCGGAAATTCACCACCTCCCTACCGAATGCACCGATAAAGACGGACTTCTTACTAATTTTTTAATTAATTTTATGAAACAGCCTATCAATCCACTGAGTAAAAATGACAAGAAGAATGCGAGTGCTTTCTGCAGGAGGTGGGAGTGGAGGTGAAACGGAAAGGTCCTCGTTGATGGAAATTTCTCCAATTCCAGATCGAGAGCGCACAAACCCGACAAGCATCCCTACACTACGTCCGGAAGACAAGGACTCCTCCTCGCCGTCTGACAATAATCCCCCATCCTGGCGCACACAGGGGTTTAGACTCTCCCACCTCCCAGGCCTCGGCAATCCCAAATTCCAGGCCTCCCGAACCACTGAACGGCAACAGGGGGAGCCAGACCCCAGGCCGCGCCCCCGAGCTAGGTTGGTGCCCAAGCGACTTCCCCTGGGACGGGAGCGGGGCCTCCAAGGACAGCACTAGAGAAGGCCTGGGACCAGGGTCTCCCTGGTACAACGTAGAACTACCTCTCAACCCCCACCCCAACTCGCCCCAAACCGGGCTCTGGACCGTCGTCCAGGTCTTTTCCAGACGTGAACTCTGCTACCAAGTGACGCCTCTGCGCTCGGGGCCCTTCTGGCTGGAGTAGCACTCACAGCCCGGGAGGCCGAAGTGCGAATGCCTCCCTCTGGGACAGGTACCACTGCATTCGTGGGGCGCATTACTAGTCTGGAAACGCTTGGGGTCGGGAGAGATAGCCCGCCTCCCTTTTGAGAACATTTCCGCAGACCAGACTGCACCGGGGCAGTTGGGCGACGGGTGCAATTGGCCGCAGATAGTACCAGGTTTGGAAACAGACCCCAGCATGAAATTCCAATTCCCCAGTACTAAGGCCTATTCCAGAATCGGTGGCCGCGGTCACCCTGGTTTTCTCATGCACATCATTCAACGTTCTAATCGTAAATCAAAGTTCCAGGACCTGATTTTGAGGAGGGTAGGTGTCTGGGGCGGGCAGGACAGACAAGCAAACGCTCGCGCGGCGGGAGAACGGGGAAGCACCGGGACTCGGGGACCTCGTCAGCCTGAAAAAAAGCCCTCGCAAGTCTCCAGCCTCAGGTTTCTGCCCCCCCCCCCCCCCGAACCTCCGGAGTCGAGCCCCGCGCTCCTCCTCCCGGGAGCGGGAAGGGCGGAACGCGCGGCCCGAGGTGGAGTCGATGCCTGCGGCCCCAGCACTCGGCCCACGCCAGCCTCGGCCCCCGGCCTCCTCCACCCGCGCCGGCGGCACGACCGGAGCTCTCAGCTCCTCCCCCGGGCCCCGCGCACCCCTGCCCTGCGCCTGGGGCCTGGCGGCGGCCGGCCAAACCGCCTTTCTTTTCCTGCCTTCCCCAGTGAGCTCACTTCCTCCCCGCGCCGCTCCCTTGCGTCAGCCGGAACCGGCTCCCGGGCCGGCCGCAGCGGCGGGGCGCACAGACTCCGGGCGCGGCGCCTTCTCCGCGCGCCTGTCCTTCCCCGAGGCGACGTCCGTGAGCCGAGAGAAGCTCCACTAGCAGGAAAGGGGAGGTCGAAACCTCTGCGAAGAGAGGAAATGGCTTCATCCGTCGCCAGACTTCGCGCGGGCAGGAGCGCCGAGAGGGCGAGGCCCGCCCGGGCAGATTCATCGCGACCCCGCCTTGACTCGGGCCCAGCAGCCTGCGGCTGTCTTCTTTCCTTCTCCCCCGCTCCTTGTCCCCTTGTTCTCCTGTAGTCTTCACGTGCGTTAAAAAATTCATATGCAAGCACGTTGAAAAAGCAACTTCGCATTTTAAAGTCGGCAGCAGCGGAGGGAGAATTACAAATAGGATTGGGTTTAATTAGCTGGTAATTCTCTTCGCTTGCCCCCATAATTAAACAGAGATTCTAGAGCGGCTTCAG